CTGTTTGTTTACCTATTATTATGGTCGATGATGATGTCCATTGCACTGGGAAGCATGTTCTATCATGCAGTCGTGCCTACTTTTGTTGTTGAATGATTGCACATCCATGTTGAGGCCAGCTAGGGTCAATTGAACTGTGTTTGTCTTGAATGTTCATGCATATAGATGGATCCAGCCCAAAACCGTGAGCTGATGGCCAATCAACCTGCTGCCTTGGTAGTTGTTATGGTGTCTTATGTTGTCACTAGGCTTAGGAGGTCTAGGCCTGAACTAGACCCACTGTTGTATCATCTTAGCAGTGATGCTAAGCAGCATAGGAAGCAGACTCTACAAGCCATTTACAACTCCACAGATGTAGAGTGTCTGTCCATGTTAAGGATGACCAGAGCTCCTTTTTATGCTCTATGTAACATGATTAGAAATAGGGGACTTGTACCAGAAAAGGCTGGGTGCACAGTTGAGGAGTAGGTTGCTATGTTCCTCCATGTAGTTGGACACAACCAAAGGTTTAGGGTGGTTCACCAATGCTTTAGGAGATCAATTGAGACTGTCCATAGACACTTCCACTAGGTTTTATATGCTGTTGGTGAGCTTAGAAGTGAAATGATTAAGCCTTCTACACCTGGCATACATCCAAAGATCCTTGGAAGCCATAGATGGAACCCTTACATGTAGGTAACTATAAATTTAACAGTTAAGCCATAACTCACTGTAGGTGTGAACCAATGCACTTATCCCACTTACACCTTTTTTAGGACTGTATTGGTGCCATTGAAGGCACCCATGTTGGCTAGGGTGCCTAGATACATGCAGCAGGCTTTCAGGGGTAGGAAATCAAACCCCACACAAAATGTGATGGTTGCTGTGGACTTTGACCTGAAGTTCACTTATGTATTGGCTGGCTGGGAGGGCTCAGCACATGATGTCCTCATCCTTGTTGATGCCATCGAGAGAAATGATGGGTTCATTATGCCTGAAGGTAACTGAAACCAACTGTCTACTGAACTTATGTCCTTACCATGTCATAGACATTCACCAAGAGCATCTTTGGTGCACTTGTAGGTAAATTCTACCTTGTAGATGCAGGGTATGCCTGCCGTAGTGGCTTCCTCCCTCCCTACAGGGGGTGAGGTACAATCTGTCTAAGTATGGCAGCAGAAACCACCCAACTAATGCAAGGGAATTGTTCAACTTGAGACACTCCTCACTTAGGGTCATAGTTGAGAGGGCTTTTGGTGCTTTGAAGAATAGGTTTCGTATTTTAGACAACAAGCCATTCCACCCTTACAAGACATAGGTCAAGCTTGTGCTAGCCTGTTGCATTTTTTACAACTAGATTCTAGACTTTGGCATGGACCAAGTAGTGCCACCAGAGGACTGGTTGCCACCAAACCAGCCTAATTCTCAGCCTGATCATGAGCTGCTGTCTCAAGACTCTAATGTCATGTCCACTAGGAGGGATGCCATCTGTACTGCAATGTGGGAGGGTAGGGGTACCTCTAGGACCTAATTCATGCATGTTTATTCTTGTATAACTTAGTTTGTTGACCCTAGTACTGTTCATGGTTTCTTTTATTTTTGTTGGATTCTGTTCTTTTGGCTCCATTTACTACATCATCTGTCACTATTACCTTGTGTTTGGCCATGAAACTCAGACATACAGTGGTAGCAGCATAGATGAATGATGATGATGCTATTGCATAGATGTGCCCCATGGCCAAAGCTTATGTCTGTTACTTATGACCTGTTGGTTTTGTTTCTTTTGATTGGTGGTAACTATGGGAAATTTATAAGGCCTATGATGCAAACAACATATTTATGAGGTGGCTGCCTTATTTAATTGGTTCTTCATGTTTTTCATCACTGTCATAGAACCCTATGTGTGCCTATCCATTCACTTATCAACAACAACTTGTATCTTATGCTGATGGTAGTGAATGGATGTGCACAATAGGGCTCGATGGCAGTCATAACCCTGGATTTACACTTGTATGGTGCCTGTCCTGTTTACTTGATTATTCTGATTTGTCATGTATGTCAACAAATCCATGTGACATATCCATATCCTAGCAACAGCCCTTTCTTTCTTGTGCTGATGGCAGTGTATGGATGTGTACATGGATTCCATGGCAGCCACGAGCTTAGATTTGCTACACTACTGGTTTTTATTTTCTATGGCAGCCACCAATGATTTGAACTAAAAGAACACCACCACATTCTAAAGCCGAGGCCAACCTTTTATTACAATGCATGTGATGTCAATTCTCTTATATATGAACTTGATGATGCTGGTCATCAGTGGGGGACTTAAGATCAACGATTTGTTTCACCGCAAACCGTAGATCTTCAAGTTCCACACTCATGGCTAGTTTCATGCTTTACATTTGACTGAGGCTAAACCACTATTTCATTTCACAGAAATGGCAGCATACTATGTTGTTTTCAATGGGAAGGCTCCTAGGATTTACCTGAGTTGGCAGGAGTGCAGTAAGCATGTTCTTGGGGTGAGAAATGCTATATATAAGAAGTATAGCAACTATGATCAGGCTGTTAGAGATTATCAGGCATCTATGAGAGGTGTCCATGCATCTCATGGAGCAGCACCTCCCCTCCCCTATGATCCTATCCCTCATGATGCTTTTGCTCCAATCATTCCTCCTTCTGATGGTAATGGTAAGGCTAGTTGGTGGAAGAAGGTGTTAATCACCTCACTTGTTATCTTGGTGGTTGGACTATGGATGAAGGGGGGCAAAACTGGTAGCTACGACTGCTACTCTGTCTTTCATTTATGTTACCTATCTCCTTTGTGTTGTTCAAGGACTGCTGATTACTGATTAGGCTGTTGATGTTATTATTTTGTCTTGCTTCATTGGTACTTTTGTAAAGTTAGAGCAGCTATGACTCCATGCTTATTTACCTAATTAGTCTAAGGCCTGTTGATTATGTGATGTTGCATTACTCTTATCTATCTCCTATTTGTTGATTTCTGTTGGCTGCTCTCCATGGTTTCTGGCCTGGCCGGGGATCAAACAAGATTTGGGAATGGCAATTGGTGGTAGTTGACCTTGGGTCTGGCTCCTAGCTGTGGAATCAAACACAGTCTTCTTTGGACTTGGTCAATTTGGTACATGCCACTAAACAAGGGGCCTTGCACCGGGTCAGCCAGGCTGTGGTTGGTCTGGGCCTGGCCTACGGGGCTGGCTGCCTTTAGGCTGCCTACCAAACACGCCCTACCAAACCGGGTCCACGTCCCCCTCCCCACTGTCGTCTCCCACGCTTGCCGCCTGCCGCCTACCGCCTACTGCCTGCTGTCGTACTCCTCGAACCTTTGCTCGAGTTTGTACGTTTGCTTCCCATTGCCACATCCCATTGAGCAACGGCATCCCGCTGCAAGGGCTGAGGTGTGGGCATGAGGCCACGAGCTATGACGCGGGACCGATTCATAATCTATTCCCCTGTGATTTGTCCAGGTTCATAGGAAATCGATTCTTGGTGCCATTTGTTCTGAATTGTTGCATTGTAAATCAAGTTTCTCTCAAAAAACACATATCTATTTTCTTGACGTGGATATATGTCGATAGAGTTAAACTGTAATGTTCTATGATTTACTCATTTCCTATAATTGTTGTGTCATTTTCTTACACCATAAGTTCAAAAATGTGCGTACATTAATAACATCGAACACATGTATACTCCTAATTTTTAGTGGTTAACATTCAAATCCATTCTAATTTTTAGAAGATGGCAGCTGCGTTGGGCCATAGCCCATTACAATATTTGCCAGAGCGCTGGACCTCGACAGACACAGACCTGCAGCTTGTTCATCCGTTTAGTCCCACCTCGCCCAGCCAAGCAGCACAGAGGCGCGGACTCGCTGCATAAGGAGACCTAGGGCACCTTGCCAAACCATACCTTTCTCGGATTTTAGGCTAAGTATATGTTCTTATCAGTTTAATATTAATATCTAATCAGTCTGTTCGGCTGGGCTTATATGATCGTGGATTATAAGCTGGAACAGTATTTTTCTCTCACACCAAACCAGCCAGCAGTAAATAATCCACGATCGTTTACGACAAAACGAACAGGCTGAATATGTGGACTATGTGCTCACTTAGTTATTAAATTTATTTTTTATAGGAGAGGGTCTACTACAGTGGCTTGACGCTGGGGCCCTTGCGCGTCGCCCAGCCGTTGCACTACTGGCAGCCAAATCTTAAATAAAATTTGCTCTTAACAAATCTTAAATAAAATTTGCTCTAAATGTAATATGTTTATAATGGGCCACAGCCTGCAGCCGTTGCGGCTGTGGCTTTTTCAGCACAAATAGGGTACCGCTGCTGCAGCCGAACAGTTGGATTTTCGTATTTTCATATATAACTAAAAATACTGAATTTGACATATTGAAAAAAAAAACATCCATGCGCATAAACAGTGAGGTTATTCTCAGCAAACTGTAACGCATGATTGACAGCTAAATCAACCTAGAACTCGACGTTGTAGGGCTAATATGAATATGTTGCTGACAGCGACGACAAATTACTTCTGAATAACTTCAGAAATCATATGGAAGAACCATAACATTTCGCGATTCATTGGTAAATTTACTTTGATTCTCTATAGACCAATAATGTGAGACCATTAACACGGTTAAAGCTAAATTGCTTGAAGTCGACTTTTTGTACTCCCTGTGTTTCAAGTTATAAGATGTTTTGGATTTTCTAGATACAATTGCTTTTGCTATGCACTTGGATATACAGTGTCTAAATACATATTTAAAGAAATGTATCTACAAAAGCGAAGATGTCTTATAATTTGGAACAGAGGGAGTATTTAATATTGAGATGTAGCGATAACAATCTTTTAGCAAATAATTTGGTCAGCTGATCATCCGAAAGACTGAAACACATTTGGTCCTGGTTTCGACTAATTTTTCTGATAGCCTTAGCTACACTTTGTGTTTGTGACGCGCATCTATCAGCTGGAGGATGCGGTGGCATGCTCTATCTGTTACAGTATGAGTCAAATGCATGATGCTTGAACAAACCAGACCTCCTCTTCTCCAGCTCTGACCGTAACCTCTGTGCTTTCATTTTTTCGTTAATAAAATCTCTCTCTATGGCCTGACTCTGCTCAAGAAGCTTGATTTTTGCTCGTTTCTCATGCTCATACGCCATCCTGGAAATGAATTTTAGCCATGTGGAGCATTATTAGTAGTTGACCAACAAACCTTGGTACATTTAGAAAGACAAACAAAGCAGAAATTATTGATAGTTTTAATTCTTAAAAATGTGCAGAACACAATGCAACCTGCTTAAGTAATAGAGAAGATTATTTAAAAAATATATATCTGTAAGAAAGCATAACATTATGGAGACATTTTCTACATCAATGCACTGTAAATAAAATCACAAAACACAAACCTGGCCCTCAAAATCTCCTCTTGTATATCATGCAACCCTTCTCTTATAGCAGGTATCTGCTTGTTCTCGGATCGGATCTGCTCCAGCTCCCTGTACAATGACTGGACCTTCACAGATAGCTCTTTGCGCAAAGCTTCCAACTCCATCTTTTCAGAACTTAGGAACAACACTTCTGCCTTGATAGGTTTAAGAGCACGCATCTGTTCCTCTAATTGCATACCTCCCTGGATAATACCCTGTATTCCATTTCATTATCAAGACGAAGTCTGGGAATGGTTTGTTTGGTAAGCATATGGATCTCGTCTTCAATGACGGCTAATTCTTGCCTAAGGCCCAGAATATCCTCTAGCACAAGAGTATTATCAGCAGCAATTCTACGAATTTCTTCACAACGAACTGCAAGCTCCTCCTGGGAAGGGAGCAGATGCATGGGTCCAGGAACTCTTCCAGCTAATGAATTTGAAGGGGAATTTCTATGGCCATTATTGCTCCAAGGTTGCCAAGCCATATGGTTTTCTGATGGTGCCTGCAATGGTGCGGTAGAAGAAGACCCACAGCATATGAATGGATAGATATACTTGAATAATAACATGGAGTAAAAAATAAAACTATCTTGAACAGTTGAAATGGCATAAGTATGTGAGTATGTGACTGTGGATTTGGATATGCTAAACAGCTTATCATTTTCAAACAAGCATGACTGCATTTCAGTACACAAAACTGCATGATAGGCCATGATGGTACAAACACACCTAAGGTAAAAAGAAGTTCTGGTATTTCATCAACCAATAAATTAACGTATTAGCCCATTTAGCTGTTTGCCACCATAAAAGCCATCTATTAACTACTTTGAGAAAATCATTACACTTTCTATTATTTAGCTTCTGAGGCCATCTCATTCTATGTATTCACCCATTTGTTACAATGGAATATGGATCAATTAAATTTCCGTATTCTATTTACTGCATTGTCAAATCAGAAAAATGTTACACAATTAGTGTATAATTACAGTACTGGGCTGATGTTCTCATTGTTCTATTATTTTGCTTTGGGTCGCTTTGTGTCCATCCTTGTGTAATCGCATACTGTAACTACTGCCAACACATTGTTTAGATGGGCAAGGTGGCCAATCGCTTGTTCTCTCTGCTTCCCTCTAAATGAAACATGTGCCCATGCACGTTCTTAAAAAGGGTGTATAACTATATACTGATTGCAACTCATGTGGCTTGGTGGCTGCTGAATAAAAATTCCACATCTAAATCAAATGAACAGATGTTATCAGATATCAAGCTATCCAATCATCATGTCCAACTCCAATAGAACGAACAGGTTCCTATGAGTCATTAAACTTTTCTGAGGGGCACATTAGCCTCCTCCGTCAAGGAAGGAGTCAGTGTTTCAAAAGTGGCCACATAGTATGCATAGGCATCTTCGAGGCACTCAGTGTCACCCTCTCACATTATAGATGATCAATCACTAGGTGCCAAACCCTCAAGAAGGCAAAAATTAGGTTTGCAGGTATCTTATGAATGATCACACAATGTACCTCATGGAATAAGGCAAACAATAGGTTCACAGGTATGTGCGGTCCCTCAAATTAGACATTCTTAACTAGTAAAAAATCTGAGGAAACAGGTGTTAGGATAATCATGACTTGGAGTGTGTTTCAAGCCAGTTGGTTAGTTAGCGTGTGTGTGCTTGCATGTCGTTCATTAAATGCATGCGTGTGTATGCTGATCGAGTCTAGAGGCCAAGTCGTTGGCGGTTAAGCGCATGCAGGAGCACACCACGCGAGAGAAGGATGGAGACCCGTTCATGTGAAGGAGTATGTGGCTCACGAACATATGAAACCAGGTCGTCCAGGCTGCCATGCGTACGTGCGCGTGAAGCTCGCAAGGTGGGTGCATGGGCGCTGCGTTGCCGTGGGTATAAACTGGCCGCGTAGGCTCGTGGTTTAGAGTGTCCTGAGTCGTGTGTTTGAATGATAGAAGCCAAGATACAGGCGTTCGTCGTCGCGGCGTTCGTCGCCGGCAAGTTTATCTGTCTACTGTTCATCTTCTACCTCTGTTCGTCGACAGTTAGAGTGACTCGGTTCCAACAATTGGTATCAAGATCCTAGGTTAGGGAGTGGAGAGCAAGTTGAAGATTTCGACGTTGAAGGTCAGAGACTCGAGCTCCAACAGCCCCGGCGATGGCGCACCACGTATGGTCATGGTGGAGCACGTCATCGGTGGCATGGCAGAGATTCCAAAGCCTCGTCGTGGGATTCGTTTGTGCTGGTGGCGGCCGGCACGAGGTGGCCATCAACGGCGGCGGCGTGCTAAGGCACCGGGCCGTGTGTCGGTCCGCGAGTGCGTGCCTGTGGCGGCACGAGGCACCATGGCAATGGTCCGTTCATCGGTCCCTGACTTGGTACGACTATGGTGTGCTGGTGGTGGCGGCGTTCGCCAGCGGCTACGATGCTATGAAGCTCTAGGCCGTGTGTCGGTCTGTGGAGGTGCGGGGCACAGAGTTGCCTTGGTGAGGCGGAGCCGGAGTATCGGCGTGTGTCGCCGGCCGGAGAAACGGTGTGTGTCGCTGAGAAGAAGACTGCGGCGTTTGCACGGAGATCGGGCATGCAGAGGTGGCCACGTCAGGTCCGAAGGCCGTAGCGGCGACCTTCGCGATGAAGACGACGGTAGTTGCAGCCTGCAGCAACTCCGGCAACGGCAAGTCAAGATTAGGGAGAGTTTGTTAGGATAATCACGTTGGAGGTTAAGCGCATGCAGGAGCACGTCACGCGAGAGAAGGATGGAGACCCGTTCATGTGAAGGAGTATGTGGCTCACGAACGCATGAAACCAGGTCGTCCAGGCTGCCATGCGTACGTGCGCGTGAAGCTTGCAAGGTGGGTGCATGGGCGCTGCGTTGCCGTGGGTATAAACTGGCCATGTAGGCTCGTGGTTTAGAGTGTCCCGAGTCGTGTGTTTGAATAATAGAAGCCAAGATACAGGTGTTCGTCGCCACGGTGTTCATCACCGGCAAGTTTATCTGTCTACTGTTCATCTTCTACCTCTGTTCGTCGAGAGTTAGAGTGACTCGGTTCCAACAACAGGCTGACTCAAAGTGCATAGATGGGGTATAATTTCATATTGAAATCATTAGACCTTTGCAAGTATGACTCCGAAAAATCAAGAACGGTGTTAACAAGACAAAAACAGCAGGACATTAAACACCAATATCATCTCCTTCCCAAATTAATCAGAAACCCATTACAAGTTTAGATGCACAAATGAGTACATGACACCATGCACACAGAAATTTGAGGAGCAACATGAAGTGACCATAATTCATAGAAATCACCACAAAATACCCCCTAGGTCAGAGAATATTGTTTTCTTGTCGAGGAAATGGTTTACTTGAGTTAGAGGCTTAGAGCCAGCATGAGCACCCAAAAATTTAGCCCTAAATCCACGATAATAGCAACGAAATCAAGAAGTGAGGTATCCAGCAACCAGGTTCCTCCTAAACTACTCCAGAACCAGAGTCGGCCAATCATACTATCGTGCCATTCGAACCAATTTCTCGACCAAACAATGAATACTGTTGCTCACGATTCGACGCACATGATACCAAAACAATCAGATAGCACACGACGAAACAAGTTTGGTAGAAGGTATTCGATGATAGTTACTTATTTGCTCATTCCCAGGCGACCAAGGTTTCAAGTTGTTGCCGTGGAGCAAATTTACCAAAAATCAGTGGTGGACTGCAGGAGAGGAGATACAGACCTGCTGGATGCTAGCGTTCTCGTTGTGCTCCGCGACTACTGCGGCCGACCCGCGCTACTCCACCAAGCAAGGCGCCCACCCCGCGCCTCGTCGCTGCCTGCCGAACTGCTTGCGGATGCCGCCGCTGCCGCCGCGCCCCGTCCCCTGGGGCAAACCGCCACCCAGCTGTCGCCTGTCGATCCGTCACTTCGAGCGGCGAAGGCGTCGCCTGCTCCTCTGCTCCGTCCAGTGTGCTTGTCTTGTGGAGTGAACATAACTCAGGCCGGGCTGAGCCGGAGAGTATTACATCCCGGATCCCCACTAGGCCACTAGGCCTGGCCTAGCAGTCTATCAGGCCGGACCGAGCTACGGCTAAATACTAAACTTCAAAGACCGTTTTTTAGCGTGTGGGACTTTTCAAAATAATTGATGAGTCCAAAACTAGTTCTAGGAAGATAATTAGGAGGAACAGCTCCCTAGCCTCTGTAATATTGTCAACAGTCATCGCTACACAGTGACAACCGTAGTGGGATATAAGCCACTGAATTTTTCTTTTCATAGAGTGATAGTGCGCAATAAGCTCATTGGTTAGCACAACCTAACAGCTAAGGTAGGCTCATATTCATTTACTGAACAAGAAAACACTTTTACTTGGTCCTGGTCAATTTTCAGTTCAATCCATGTATGAATATTTTTATTATTGTGCTCTAGGTGTGGAGTCATAATGATAAAAGATAACAAAAAGAAACTAGACGTGAAGTCAATAATGTTGTTTCTATGCTTGCAATGAAACGATTAAGCTGCTTTCCTTGATGGTCCCTGTGTTAGGTCCGTTTGGAGAATAGTTCAGCCGGCCACTGGGTTTACATCACCAAGATCTATGTCTCATTTACTAGTTGGCTTCATGGATCAAGAAACAAAGAGAAATCAAATATCTTCAAATATGTTTGTTATCAAAATATCAGCTAAACATTAGTTAAGAGAAACTAAAGGCACTAGCAAACATTAGGACCATCAAGGCTTCAATTTAGTTAAACCCATACTTCAGTTTCTCTTTACTATAATGGATTAAGAAACAAAGGGATTTACACAACCTAGGAGTTGATTGGTGACATTAGTTAAGAGAAACTTTGAATGTTTGCTAGTACTCTCCGGTCAAAGAAAGAATGTAAAATCTCATTTTCTGAAAAGTCACACAACGACTAGGTTATTTATAAAAAATATTACCGACATTTATATCTTCAAATATGTTGTTTTTTAACAAAATATATTTCATAATTGTCTTAGTGATACTTGTTATGCATCCTAAGTTTTAGTAGTTTTCTATATATATATATATATATATATATATATATATATATATATATATATATATATATATATATATATATATATATACCATTTGACCAACTATGTATGCCAGTATGTGATCCTAGGAACTTGGCAAAATCAGCGTCTTTTGCCCGAACAACGTCGTCCCCTGGCCAGCGCGGCAGCAGGCCGGCTTAACAAGTCAAACGGGCCCGGCGATCTTCCTTCCACGCCTCCCTGAGCCTCGCATCGTCACTCATCACACCCCGACCTCTCCGAAGCCCGCGCAAACGACGAGTCGACGACGATGCGTCCACGCGCGCACCTCGCCGCGCTCCTCCTCCTCGCCGTCGTCGACACCGCCTCCGTCTCCTCCCGCCACCATCATGCCCCGGCGGGCGCCCCACACGGCGTGGCCCCGTCACAGCACCTGCTGCCGTGCCTGGAGGAGCTGCTGCCGTGCACGGCGTACCTCAAGACCACCAAGCACCCCTCGGCCACGTGCTGCACCGCCATGCACAACGCCGCGGCGGCCGAGATGCCGTGCCTGTGCCGCCTCTTCGCCGATCCGGAGCTGCTCGCCACCTTCAACGTCACCAGGGAGCAGATGTTCAAGCTCCCCGCCCGTTGCGGCCTCCCCGTCGGCTGCCGCACCGGGACCTCCTCCCACGAGCCTGGTTAGTTCTCTTCTCTGGCCGGCTGCCGTTGCGGCGTTTTTAGCCACCCGATCCCCCTGCTGTGCACCGTGCACCCATCCGATGGCATCTGACACCTGAATGAATGCATGCAGTCGTGGAAGCGCCGCCGCCGCCCGCCCCGGTGCAGCAGCACCACCACCAGCACGGTGCCTCGTCGAGGGGTGACGAGTTCAGGAGCATCTGGAGCCTGGTCGCGCCGTTGGTTTTGGGCCAGATGATCCCCATGGCTGCACTATTTTGATTTAGGCTGTTCTGGGTCATCTCGAGGCGCCTATTCCTGAATTTTCTTGCTATCCTACCTGCAGAGGGTGATCCGTGTTGCTCTTCGTTTTAGCGTTGTCATATCGTAATGTTTTATCGCCTCACCAGTTAGCTATAATGGACAGCGACGGAATCTATTTCAGATGCATTAGTGTTGTTGTACTAGGATCGATCTCAATTGTCGTTGGGACGCTCGCTCTTTCCTCTCAGGCTCTCGACGAACTCAGGATGAAACGGATGAACTCACGTTCAAGGGTCGAGACACAGGATTGGCGCAGCGCAACTCAACTCACTGCCTTTTCTTGTTTTTCTTTCCTTTTATTTGCACACGGATACAAGATGAGCAGTCTTCAACGATCGCCCGTGCCCACGCCCTGCGGATTCACCGTGCCATCCCACGGCCACAGAACGTGGGCGACGTGCGCCATGAAAAACGCCCAGACGCACACGACTCGGCATGGTCACCGTGACCAAGCCAAACTCTAGCTGAAAACTAGGATGTACCAGAAATAGAAAACTAGCATCCTATGCTAAACACGACATGCTTATTCTTTACAACAAACTCCCCCCTAATCATGTCGTGCCGACGAAGACATTGACGATGCCGCTCCTGACACGCAGCTCCTGAAGGCGTTCTCGTGGAAGCGGCTTGGTGAGCAGATCCGCCAATTGCTCACCAGTCCTGATGTAATCCGTTTCAATGGCCCCAGAATTGATGCAATCACGAATGAAGTGAAAACGGATGTCAATGTGCTTACTTCGATCGTGGAACACCGGATTCCTTGCCAGCGCCAGAGCGGATTTGTTGTCGATGTACAGTAGCGGTGCCACGGCTGCTTTGTTTGTCAGGTCTGCCAGCAGGCGTGAGAACCAGACTCCCTGACATGCCGCGGTAGCTCCGGCGATGTACTCCGCCTCGCATGATGACAGCGCCACCACTCGTTGTTTCTGTGACTGCCAGCTCACAGGGCTCTGTCTCGAGGAAGAAGAGAGCCCCTGAAGTGCTCTTCCGATCATCGCAGTCACCGGCCAGATCAGCGTCGCTGTAGCCAATCAACTCCAGCGCACCCTCACCGCGTCTGTAGACACAGCCATGAGAGCGCGACCCTGCAATGTACCGGAGAAGATGTTTGATGGCGCTCCAGTGCTCCGTTGTTGGCGCTTCCATGTACCTGCTCACCATGCCCACCGCGAAGGCAATGTCTGGCCGTGTATGTACCAGGTACCGCAAACTCCCGACGACTGCGGTACAGAGTAGCATCAACTAGTGGATTGGAACTAGACTTGCTCAGTTTCAGTCTTGGCTCCATGGGAGTGCTGCATGGGTTGCACCCCTTGAGTCCAGCCCTCTCGATGATCTTCTCTGCGTATGCACTCTGACAGAGAGTAATCCCGTTTGTGCTCTGCTGAACTTCAATCCCCAGATAGTAATGGAGAGGACCGAGATCACTCATGCTGAATAGTGTGGCCATCTCCTTCTTGAACCGATCGACCTCCGCCTGGTTTGCACCGACCACGACGAGATCATCAACATAGACTCCCACTAGCGATGGCTGTTGCCGGCTTCCGTATACACACGGCGTTCTCCGCGTCTTGCACCTGAACCCAAGCTTCTGCAGTGAGCTGTCCAACTTGGCGTTCCAGGCTCGTGGGGCTTGCCGGAGTCCATACAGCGCTTTTATGCAGCCTGTAGACCTTCCGCTCCTTCCCTCGGATGCTGAAACCCGGCGGCTGCTCAACGTAAACCTCTTCTGCCAGATCACCATTCAAGAATGCGGACTTGACGTCGAGGTGGTGCACTGTCCACCCATGATGTGCTGCGATGGCAAGGAGGAACCGCACCGACTCGAGGCGAGCTACCGGCGCGAATACCTCATCGAAATCCACGCCTGCGCGTTGCACATATCCCTTGGCCACCAAGCGAGCCTTGTGCCTAGTGATGTTCCCTTCCGCGTCGCGCTTAATCTTGAATACCCATTTGAGCCCAATGGGTTTTGTACCGCGCGGCGCATCAGTGAGCGTCCAAGTCTTGTTGTCAGTGATCGACTTGAGCTCTTCCACCATCGCATGTTGCCACTCCTTTGCGCTGCGCAGCCTCATCATAGGTGGCGGGCTCATGGTCCACACAAGGGAGCGGATCGCCGTCCGCCACAAGCTCGCTCGTCGTCGTCGTCAAAGAAAGTTGTCGGCGACCACGAAGCGATGGGTGGTGTTGCTATCGTCGTCGGCCCCGGTATCTCCAGGGCTCCGGTCGGAGACACGAACTCGATAGGGGCTCGACTCTTCTGCGGCAACTCTCCTTGCCAAGGTATACCACCACAGCACTCACCTGGCGTGCGTGGCGATGTGGTGGCCGAGGGCGTCGGTGATGCAGTCCCCGGTGCCGTGGTTGCGGTGGTGATGGAGGTGGGGCGATGGCGCGGGGCGCGCAGTGATGCAAAGGCCGCTTAGTGGTGATGTCCCCTGTGGATCCGTGTCCCGCCGGTGTGGCGTGACGATCTCCTCCTCGCCAGGAATCTCCCATTTGTCCTCCACCTCGAACTCACCTTGCTCGGTACTGTAGCCCGTCGCTCCGTTGTTGCTATTGTTGGGCGAGCTCTGGTCCCAGGCTGCGCCCTCTTCGAACACCGCGTCGCGCGTGACGTGCACGTGGCTCGCGGTAGGGTCAAACACCATGTACGCCTTAGAGCCTTCCTCGTAGCCGATCATCACCATCTTCTTGCTTCGGTCATCCAGCTTCCCGGCGTTCGGCTTCGTGATCTTGACATGGGCGACGCAGCCGAATACGCGTAGGAAGTGAACTGCCGGCTTGGTACCGTACCATGCCTCATATGGCATCCGCCCCACCTGGCTCCGTGTGGGGGCGCGATTGAGGAGGAACACGGCCGTCATTATAGCCTCCCCCCAAAGCCACGCTGGAATGTTCTTGGCCTTCATCATGCTCCGCGCCATGGCGAGCACGGGCTGGTTCCTCCGTTCGACCACGCCGTTTTGTTGTGGAGTATACGACGCGGTCAGGTGTCGCTTGATGCCGTGCTCGGAGCAGTACTCGAGGAAGCTCGCCGACACAAACTCCCCCCCCCCCCACGATCAGTGCGGAACGCCTGGATCCGCCGACCTGCTTCGTTCTCGACGCCGGCGCGCAGACGCTTGAACGCTGCCTCGGCGTCGGACTTGTTGGCGAGCAAGGTCGCCCACATGAACCTGGGCATGTCATCCACGACGAGCATGATGTACTTCTTACCACCAGGTGTTGGAGGTGTCACCGCGCCGCACAGGTCGCCATGGAGCAGCTCAAGGGGCTTCGTGGCGCGATACTTGGCCGCCTGCGGGAATGATGCTCGACGCTGCTTCCCCACCAGGCACGCGTCGCATACGTGCTCGACATGCTCGATGGAGAGTAGTCCACGCACCATGCCACTTCTGCTCATCTTCTGTAGGGCTTGGAACCCCAGGTGGCCGAAACGGGCGTGCCACCTCCACTCGTCGTCGTTGTAGCTCGCGGCCAGGCACACTGGCCTGGTGGGCTTGAGTGGAAGGATGTAGAGGCGGTTCGTTGTGCGCCTCACCTTGGCCAATAGCTCCCGGCTCCCACGATCCCACATTCGAAGAACGCCGTCGTCAATGTCGATCTTGCAGCCGTTCTCGTCCAGCTGGCCGATGCTGAGGATGCTGCTCCGGAGCCGCGGGATGTGATAGACGTCGTGGAACGCCCGGTGACCGCCGTCCTTCGACTCGAACAACACATTCCCACGCCCCGCGATCTCCACCAGTGAACCATCACTGAATTTCATGGATCCGATGACGCCATGGTTCAGCTCGGAGAAGATGCTTGCATCGCCCGTCATGTGGTTTGATGCCCCGGTGTCGAGGTACCACTTCATCTCCCCGTGCACGGTACCCTCCTCCATGTCTGGCACGAGCTTGCGCTCATTGAGGAAGACGTGTTCGACGTGGTGCATGCGGCGGACGTTGTCCTCCGCCGGGGTCACCACTGCCATGTATAGGGAGGGCGACTCCTCCTCCGCCTGGGCAAGGTTGGCTTGCGGCTGGCTTGCTGCCGCCTTCTCCTCGTCCCGCTTCTTCTTACGGCACTCCCGCTTCCAGTGCCCGGACTTGCCGCAGTAGTGGCACGCGTCGTCGTCGCCGTTGCCACTGTTGCCGCCCTTGGACGGCCCCGAGCGCGGCTGCCCCCTGCCGCGCCCCCTGCCGCGGCCACCTCCGCCACGGCGCGCGCCCGAGCCAGATTGCGCCCTGCCATGCGCGCCCGGCCCGTCGTTGTTGAGGTTGAGGCGGGACGCAAACCGGGCCACCATCTGCTCTTCGGTGAAGTAGAGCTTGCCGTCGATCTCCTTTCCGGCGCCGCCGTTGCCGGAAGCGCCGCCTCGGCCTCTCCTTCGATCTAGGCTCTCCTCAACTGCCTTGAGCCGCCCCACCAGCTCCTCCAGTGAGACCGCCTCGAGATCGAGGAGGGTCTCGATCGACGCCGTGATCTGACCGAACCGATCGGGGACGACCTGCAAGAACTTACGGACGATCGTCTCCTCCTCCATCACGTCACCCAAGACGGCGAGCTGATCAGTGATCTTGGTGATGCGATACGCGAAGTCATCGATGGACTCGCCCTCCTTGAAGACGAGGTCGCCGAACTCCTGACGCAGCGACTGCGCCCTGGCCTTCCTCACACGATCCATGCCGATGTGCTGCGTCTTCAACGCGTCCCACGCGGCCTTCGCCGTGGTCTTGTTGGCCATGCTCCCTCGGAGCTCCTTCGGCACCGACTTGCACCATGCCTCCAGCGCATTGCGGTCGTCGGTGAAATCGTTGGTGCCGACGTTGATGGCGTCCCACAGGTACCGGCCCTGCAGCATCACCTTCATCAGCGCCGCCCAGTCGGTGTAGTTAGTTCTCGTCAACATAGGCCACCCAGCATTGCCGATGTCCTTGACCGTGCGGTGAAGCACCAGCCCACGGGCACCCCCGCCGCTGCCTCCTGCGCGGCCGCCGGGTGGACTCCAAGACCGCCGGCGCCCCGGCGATCGGGAATTCCGCGAATTCCTCGGCATGAACGCTGGGTAATCGCTTGATGACGATCCCAGCAACGAAATCGGGCTCCGATACCAGTTGTTGTACTAGGATCGATCTCAATTGTCATTGGGACGCTCGCTCTTTCCTCTCAGGCTCTCGACGAACTCAGGATGAAACGGATGAACTCGCGTTCAAGGGTCGAGACACAGGATTGGTGCAGCGCAACTCAACTCACTGCCTTTTCTTGTTTTTCTTTCCTTTTATTTGCACACGGATACAAGATGAGCAGTCTTCAACAATCGCCCACGCCCTACGGATTCACCGTGCCATCCCACGGCCACAGAACGTGGGCGACGTGCGCCATGAAAAACGCCCAGACGCACACGACTCGGCATGGTCACCGTGACCAAGCCAAACTCTAGCTGAAAACTAGGATGTACCAGAAATAGAAAACTAGCATCCTATGCTAAACACGACATGCTTATTCTTTACAACAAGTGATAGATAGGAATTGCACTTTTTCGCAAAAAAAAAGAAGAAAAGATAGGAACTGCACTATACATGAGTGCTGCTTGTTAATACAGTATATATTAACTGAACAAACTGGATGATGATGTTAGGTTAAGTGTTCTAAGGTATGTTCATCGGATCGGGATACTTAGCATAGGAATAAGTGCTCGGGATTTCACAGCGAGATTGAGAGATGGGTGATAGGTGGCAAACCGTCAAATGCCGTAGTTGTTGAAGCTCCGGCCGGGGTTTCGTTGACGGACGCCATCTGCGCGCCGGCAGCGACGGTCGGTGGAGCGGGAGTGGCGCTGTGGCGTCCTCGGCGGCGGCGTGAGCGTCGGGTGGCGTTGCTTGCGTCGGTGGTACTTCCCGTCGCTGGCAGCGCCCCTACTTTCGATCGGGTCTAGGGTTTAGGATGTCGGTGGGGTGACTGGCGGCGCGGTCAACCTCGTGTCGCGAGCCCCGGCCCCCACCTTTCCTTTATAGCGCTGTGCGACGGGGGCCCACCAACCATGTAGGGTTGGGCGCCCCCGATCAGGGCGCGAGGACAAGGCCCAGTTAGGCCGTTGGGCCTAATTGGTGGGAGATCAATCCTAACATTCTCCCCCTTGATCTCTCATCTATTCTTCGTTCTTTAATTTCATATTCAAAACTTTCAATTCATATTTTTCTTGCTTCCATCCTATTTCATCACAGATTAGTGCATAGAACTGTCCCATCGTCACAGCAATTAGTGCCGTTAGACTAACAGCCACAATACACTTCTCCGTTTTGAAATGTAAACTTTCTTTGGGCCCTTCGTATGTTCGGGAATCATAGGCTTTCCCTTAAACCCATGCCGGCTACGTGTTCTCTGAACACGTTGGGTGGTAAGCCCTTTGTGAGCGGATCCGCGAGCATTTTCTCTGTACTTATATGCTCAAGATTTATTATATGATCCCGAACTTTATCTTTCACAACATAGTACTTTATGTCAATGTGTTTGGCAAACACCACTTGACCTATTGTTGTGAGCATATTGTACCGGTTGGGTTGTTATCACAATACAACCTCGGTGGTTCTTTTATATTATCAATCACTTTCAATCCGGGTATGAATTTCTTCACCAATTCACCTTCCGCTGCCTCATAGCATGCTACAAACTCGGCATACATTGTCGAGGATGCGATTCTGATTTGTTTGGAGCTTTTCCACGATATAGCCCCTCCTGCGAGAGTAAATACATATCCCGACGTGGATTTTCTTTCATCTCCCATAATCGAATCTGAATACCCCTCTATCTCGCAGGGTATCGGATCTTCTATATGTGTAGCATGAGGCCTTTCGTACCACAAATAACGCAGGACTTTCTTCACTAATTTCCAATGTTCAATTCTCGGATTCTTTTGATATCCGCCAAGTAACCCGGTAACAAAAGCTAAGTCGTATGCATACACACTTGAGCATATTGTAAACTTCCAACAAATTGAAGCATACGGTACCGCTTTCATTCGGTCAATTTCATATTGGTTCTTGGGACACCGATGTTCCCCAAATCTATCGCCCTTGACTATAGGAGCAGTGAAGGATCGCACGCATGCATACTAAATTTCTTGGGACCTTTTCTATGTATGCCTTTTGCGATAATCCTAGAACCCCTTTTCTCCTGTCTCGGTGAATCTCTATTCCCAAAACGAACGAGGCCTCACCGAGATCTTTCATATCAAAGTTTGAGGACAAGAATTTCTTTGTTTCCATTAGTAGATTGATATCACTGCTAGCAAGCAAGATATCATCCACATACAAAATTAGGAATATGTACTTTCCATTCCTGAACTTTGCATAAACGCAATTGTCCTCAACATTTTCTTCAAACCCAAAACCTTTTATCGTTCTATCAAACTTCAAATACCACTGTCTTGAAGCTTGCTTCAATCCGTAGATTGATTTCTTCAGGTGGCATCCCATATTTTCCTTTCCTTTTACGACAAAACCTTTCGGTTGTGCCATATAAACATTTTCTTCCAAATCCCCGTTTAGGAAAGCCGTCTTTACATCCATTTGATGCAACTCCAAATCATAGTGGGCTACAAGTGCCATTATAATTCTGAAGGAATCTTTACATGAGACTGGAGAAAACGTCTCATTGTAATCAATCCCTTCTCTTTGCGTGAAGCCTTTCGCCACAAGTCGCGCTTTAAATCTTTCTATATTCCCTTGGGAGTCATATTTCGTTTTGTAGACCCATTTATAGCCTACTGTTTTGGCTCCTTTAGGAATATTTTCTAGGTCCCAAACTTTATCGGTACTCATTGATTTCAATTCATCTTCCATGGCCTTAAGCCACTTTGATGAGTGGTCGCTTCTCATGGCTTCTTCAAATGAGGTGGGATCATCCCCCATCTGACATTCTTCTGTTTCATAAACTTCATAGTCATCAGTAATAGCTGATCTTCTTATTCTTTGAGACCTTCTAGGTGCCTCCGGCACTTGTTCCACATTTGGCTGTTGTTGTTCTTCCTCATGTGCAACATTTGGTTCTATAGGTTCCTCAAGGATAGGTTCCTCAAGGACAGGTTCCTCATGTTCATTCATTGTCGCCACAGGAGAACTTACAACAGGTGTTGGCACTACAGTGTCCTGCGCTGTCGGTGCAACAGCAGCAGGTAGCGTGAAGAATGGTTCTTCAACCATCGGAGTGGGTACATGTACCCGCTTCTCCTGTAGGCTGATTTCTCGTGCTACCATGCTCCCCCTGATCATGTTATCCTCCAAGAACACAGCGTGTCTTGTTTCTATAATCTTCGTATGTCTGTCAGGACAATAGAAGCGGTATCCCTTCGATCTTTCTGGATAGCCAATAAAATGGCAGCTGACTGTCTTGGAGTCTAACTTTCCTATGTTTGGGTTAAACACTTTTGCCTCAGCTAGACAGCCCCACACACGCAAATGGTTAAGTGATGGTTCCCTTCATGTCCATAATTCATACGGTGTTTTAGGCACCGATTTACTTGGTACTCGATTAAGTATGTGAATGGCGGTTTTCAGTGCCTCCATCCATAAACTAATCGGTAATGTGGAGTAACTCATCATGCTTCTTACCATATCCATTAAGGTATGCGGTTACGCCTTTCACCACTCCATTCTCACTGAGGCTCCCCGGTGTGTGAGTATCTTGAGCAACTATGCCATTTTCCTGTAAGAACCTTGCGAATGGTCCAGAATTTGGCCATATGGGTATAAAAGCCCATAGTACTCTCCACCTCGGTCCGATCGTACTATCTTGATTTTCTTATTGTGCTGATTTTCAACTTCACTTTAAATATTTTGAATTTATCCAATGCTTCCGATCTTTCTTTAATTGGATAAATATTGCCATAACGAGAGTAGTCGTCAGTGAATGTTATAAACGAGTCATAACCATCCACACTTTTCACGGAAAAGGACCACATATATCTGTGTGGATTATTTCTAAAATTCACGTTAGCCGTTTGACATCTTTCTTAATTTTCTTGACATACTTTCCTTTGATGCAATCAATACATTGCTCTAAATCTGAAAATTCTAAGTGCGGAGAATTGATTCCTTAACCAATCGTTCCATTCTCCCCCTCGAAATATGGCCCAAGCGACAATGCCATAATTTCGAAGAGACGGTATCAATTCTCTTTCGCTTCTTAGTTACATCCGCAGATGGGGAATCATTCACATTCTCATCACATACATTGTTCGCATTCTCAAAGAAGAGATAATAAATAAAGCTTGTCTTGTCGGAAGGCAAGACCAACACATTTATTATTAACCAAGATCTTACACTTGCCATCACCAAAATGGCAATCAATTCCATCATCATCAAGTTTGAAACACTTATCAAATTTCTACGCAAAGAGGGAACATAAAGTACTTCTTTAAGTCTAAGTACAAAACCATTATTCAATTCTAAAGAAAAATCTCCAATGGCTTCAACATTGGCTTGCAGATCCATTTACAACTTTAATCGTTCTTTCTCCTCTTTGCAAGGTTTTCGTCCCCACTTAACCCCTCAGTAAAGAATTTGCAACATGAGTAGTTGCTCTGAATCAACCCACCAAGTGGATTTATCATAACATAAATACAGTAGATTCATCTACAAATGTAATAAATTCATCACCTTTCTTTAGCAGAGATTTCGTGAAGTCCGGACAATCCCTCTTGTAGTGTCCTTCTTGAAGCAAAGGCTTGCTGACCGATCTTTTTTTCTGCTCGAAATCTACTCTTGATTCTCGTAATCCTGGGGTTTCTTTCCTGTGAACTGGAGGAAGAGGTCTTATCCCACTTAGGTTTCCCTTGTGGTTTAGAATTCTTGCCATTAAAGTTCTTTCTTTTGTTGTCCTTCACAAAATGAGCAGATTCACCTTGTGAGGACTTTATCCTCTCCTCTTCTTGAGCACACATTGATATGAGTCTTTCTATGCCCCATCTTTCAGGCTACATATTATAGTTCACAATGAAGATGTCATATTCTTTTGGCAAAGAAGCAAAATCAAATGAATCAAAATCCTCCTCCTTCAAATTCATTTCTTTTAGCTTGGATGCCGTAGTGTTCATCTTCAAAATGTGCTCTCTTATGCTACCACCAAAGAATTTCTCATTCACAAGCTTCTTAATCGATGAACTTGTTGTGGCCTTGGTAGACCCAAAGAACCGACTCTTGATTTTCTCAAGATATTCTTTGGCAAGAGCACATTCGTGGATTGAGCCCTTATCTGTTCTTCTATGGTGGCTTTGGCTACCAACAGCACTTATGCGTTGGAGAGAGTCCATTGCCTATGTTCAAGGTCATATTTCATTCTTATTTCAAGCATGATCACGCTTTCGAAAGGCCGAATCGTGTCGTCATTTCATTGTCACCTCTCACCGGGTCCTCTGGCTCGATGAGGACACGGTGAGGTGATGGCAAAATCGACCTCTCCCAACGCAAGTTCCAATTCATACTTCTCCCGCCACACACGGTGATTGGTTCCGTTGAGTGTCGGGATGTTGGCAATATTCACAATGCATTTGCCTCCTGAAATCACACCAAAGTAAGTAAGAAACATTTATGCATAAAATTCCATGCTTTAACTCAACGTTGGTCAAATTAAAACTTATTATTCATCCATGCAAACATTTTACATCACCGTTAGGTAAGTAAAATTAATGCACAATTTCTCATGGATCAAAAATAATAATATTGTTATTAACAACGTTGGTCAGAAAATAACAATATCATAATCGCATCAAAATTATCAGAAATTCATTTCTCTTAAAATTAAATTATCATGTTGGTTCAAATTTAATCAAAGAGGACAATAATTATCATGCACAGCGGAAACATTAATAATCTTTTCATATTATTATTTTCCAGAAGCACTAAAAATTTACTGTTTTTCTGAGCAAAATATCGTTGGATAAAATTTGCACAGAAAAATTGCATCAAAATCATTCAAATTCATCAAAAATATGCATTTAAATTACTCCCGGAAAATAATAACAAAATTTCATTTTTCTTCATTCTTTCATTTCATTAGCCATGCCCCAAAACGCTACCGAAACCGGCTCGGCCCGGCTTGCCTCACATACAAGACAAAGCCGCACCCAGCCATGAGTTGGCCCGATGAATCGCGGCCGTTCGTCTCGATCCGATCCGACCGAGCGGCCGCTTTCAAGACGGATCAAAAGCGTCGCCATGGCCGACGCCTGAAACCCTAGGCATTCGGCTCTTCCCTCTCTCTCTCTCGCTGCTTTTCTCTTCTCGGCCGTGCGTGAGACGGCCGGGCCACCGCCGCAGCAAGCAGCGAGCGAGGAAAAGCAGAGCGGTCTTTAAGCGCGTCATTGCCCCCTCGCGACAGGCGTGCTCCCCTAACGGTGAGCACGCCGCCGTCGAGCAACCCTAGCCATGGCGCTTTCTTCTTAGAGCCCGGCGAGCCGTTTCTTGGCCGAGCCCAGCGCCCTCGGCTCGGTTTCTCCTCCAGCGGCCGGGAAGAAGAAGCCGGTGCTTTCTTCTTCTTCTTCCGCGCGGTGGAGGTTTATCCCGACGAACCCTAACCCTAATTTTTCCCCTTTCTCCTTTTTTTTTGAGTTTGTTCTTTTCGGTTTTATCCGAATGGGGAAAACTAGGGTTAGGTTTAGAGTTTTGTTCTTGCCGATTCGTTTTCCTTTTCGTTCATTCGAATGGAAAAATGGGATTAGGGTTAGAGTTTGACCCTTCTTCTTTCTTCTTCCCCTTTTCCCCTCTTTCGGATTAGAGTTCTAGGGTTCTTGAATCCGACCCTCCCTTTTCCCCTTCTTCAATCCCTTGTTTAGTTTTGATTTTGGGAATTAGGGTTAAGGTCTTAGGGTTCGGTTTTCGACTTTCTTTCCCGATCCGCATCTGATTTCTTGACGAACCGTGGCTCCGGTACCATTGTTAGGTTAAGTGTTCTAAGGTATGTTCATCGGATCGGGATACTTAGCATAGGAATAGGTGCTCGGATTTCACAAATGAGATTGAGAGATGGGTGATAGGTGGCAAACCATCAAATGCCGTAGTTGTTGAAGCTCCGGCCGGGTTTCGTTGATTTGACGCCATCTGCGCTACGGCAATGACGGACGGTGGAAGAGCAGGAGTGGCGTTGTGGCGTCCTCGGCGGCGTGAGCGCGTCGGGTGGCGTTCTTGGCATCGGTGGTACTTCCCGTCGCTGGCAGCGCCCCTACTTTCGATCGGGTCTAGGGTTTAGGATGTCGGTGGGGTGACTGGCGGCGCGGTCAACCTCGTGTCGCGAGCCCCGGCCCCCACCTTTCCTTTATAGCGCTGTGCGACGGGGGTCCACCAACCATGTAGGGTTGGGCGCCCCCGATCAGGGCGCGAGGACAAGGCCCAGTTAGGCCGTTGGGCCTAACTGGTGGGAGATCAATCCTAACAGATGAAACACTAGCTCATTCTTCTCACGCGGCTCCACGGTGACAATGCCGATCAGATGTAAATATAGGTACTTAATCTATCAATATGTTTCTGAATATGTGATACCAAACATTCTTTCTGAATCTAAAAGCCAGTTAGAAGCGCAGATCAAATAGGGAGCATCCATCAGAACAGCTATATCTAACTGGATGCATATACCACAGCAGCTAATATTAACTGGATGCATCTACCACAACCGATGATTGAATCTCAAATCTCGCAGTTCACCACCATTGGTTACGACCTCAGAGATCATACTGATTCCAAAGCGAACAAAGGTTACAAGGCATTACAGGATGCGGAAGAAAATTCCCCTCGCACTGAAGAACCGAGTCAAGTTACAGCTCCGAATGCTAATGTTAAGGTTTACATGGCAGATTAGTGCACAGTACATGGAAAAAACTAGTTACAGCAGATTGGTTCTACATATTTGCATGGAGGGCGATGATCTTTCTACTCTCCTTAACCTTCTTCTGCAGTTAAATGTCGAATACAGAATGCGCTAGCTAGTAGACTGTTTCATGGCCCCTCATCGCGGATGGTCTAGTGGCTCAACAGCGGTTCTGAAGAGAAGAATATAGGCCTTATCGACAGAGAAGTACAAGAAACCTCCCAGAGAGTGAGTGACATAGGAACCAAAGCTAGTTCCAACAATGCAATGCCAAGCAGGACCATATGCCGTATCAAATTCCTGCAGGCAAATGAAAACAATATCATCTACCAATAACATGGGGAAGATTGATGAATTGCAGAGTCACCAGACATCCAAATCCTGGTTAAACAACTAATATGCATGCATGCAACCAATGTTCTGGAAAGCAATAGCCTCAAGTAATCAGCAGATTACTAGAAATGAATACTAGAACCCAGATTATACATTCAGCAGATTTAGGAGGTTACAGGAAACTAATAGTTATAAATCATATTACGAAAGATATGCACAGAGATACAATGATTTTCTACAGTCTCAGGTACACCAAACGCTTAATATAAAAGAAGATCAATGCTTCATAAACGGAGGACAGAATATTGCACTAAGCTGTAAGATTGAAAACCCAAGAGACAACAGTCATTTTAGCAGCAAACCTATAACAAATCTATTCATATGACAAATTAAGGCTATTGGCCCAAACAATCTTATGTAGGCTAAAATAAATTATTGTACACACCAATACATAGTTTTGTCAAGAACCCTTTTGTCAACAACACTAACACCGAGTAGAAGTCCAGATTGCTCTGATCCTCTGGGGTGCTTGTACCAACATCTTTGAAGATTAATTCCTTGTAACATATGTGGGGGAACAAACTAACAGTAGTTGCTACTTGCTAGACAAGACAAAGATGGCATGGCGACAAAACACAATAAATGAAGAGGAACAGAAGATTGCATTCATTCAACACATTGGCAGAACTTGGCGACATCTAGGTCCACTGCTAACCTATGTTGAATTCAGAAGGTCCACATAAACAAGACATTAATGGCTAGTGGCTACACAAAAGCAGATGATTTGCACTAATAGCACTACGGTCTGAGGGGATGTTTTCAATATAGGGACCAAATGCCAATATCTAACACTTAGAAATATCAATTTGTCCTACTTTCTTCAAGACGCTCCTTTCAATAACTCTAAGGCCCCGTTTGGATCCTTGGCATTGAATTCATTCTAATAAATTATAAATTATAATTTAGGCACATATTAATTAAGCTAATATGGTTGTGTATGGAATATATTTGTATACTATTGTTAGCCATGCAAGAGAGATGCTTATATGTTTCATTTCTACTATAGGGAAGCGAGTTGGAGAGCGTGCTATAAGTTGAAGAGTAGATACATAGCATGGTGATCTATAGAATCAATTTCCATCTCCCATCCTATGAATTTGAAATAGGCTTATATGTGAACTTTGGAAAGTTGTGAAATCTCAAATTCCAAGCCAAATAGCCTAATACATTAAGTAGATTCCAATTCCTCCAAAATGAAGGGATCCAAACGGCCCACAGACACTGCAATGCAATCATGAAACAGTCCTGCTCAAGCTTAAGATGCATACATGACATTTCATGACTGGTCATCTACACCGTTGCCTTCCTCATCCAGATCGCCTCTGCTGTACTGATGGGCGAATCAATTTGCTAAAGAGCATGCAACAAGTCGTATTTACTAGGCAGGATGTAAAGCTAGCTAATGAATTCCTCAAGGCCTGCCTCTTACCGTGGTCCTTGGCTGTATGGCTATAAATAACTATCAAAACCAAAGTCATAGCACAATTCTACAGAAGCATCTCGAGGAGTTCCATTCATCTCAGAATAATTGCAGAGAGGGCAAACTGAATGTGAAACTGGATCTCTGATTGTAAACCCCTCCCCCCAACAAGGTTTGGTTTGTTACGAGTTATGACTAGCCATTGTGGGGACTAGCCAAAGCCACATTTCCTATAATCTCAACATTAGTAGGAGTAACACCTACCCGAACGGCCGAATCAAACCCAAATGCACAATTGCATACCCGCATTTCTCTATATCAGGCCCACAACAAATGATCTCCGCGCGCTAGACATAGCGACACAAAAACATGCTGCCATATCTTTCCCAAGAGAAATTAACTACCGAGATGTAGGGCGGACGGTGCCATACCTTCTTGAGCGCGAGGGCGAGGCGCTTGCTGTCGAGGCGCGGCATGGCGGCGATGGCTTCGTAGGCGAGCCGGACCGCGCGGCGCTGCAGCGGGAGGGGCATGTCGGCCGCGCGCACCCGCACCGACACCTTCCTGCTGCTGTCGTCCTCCTTGGGACCCCCGTCGTCCTTCCCCTTCCCGTCCCCCGCCTCTTTGGCCTCCCGCTTCTCCTCCTTCTCCTCCTCCTCGGCCACTGGCTCCGCCGCCTTGGCCTCCCCGCGCTTCCCAACCGCGGCCTTCGGCTCGGGCTCCGGCTCAGGATTCGGTGGCGCCACCTCGGGCTCGGGCTCGGGCTCCGGCTGAGGAGGGGGAGCCGGGGCGGCGCTGAGCTTGGTGCGGCGGATGAGCGAGCTGAGATAGCGGCTGCGGCGCTCGAGCTCCTCGGACGCCGGATCCATGGCGGCTGGCTGCGCGCCTACGTCTCGGACGGGGACGGCTGCGGGTCGCCTCGCCTTCGCCTCAGCTGCGGCAGCGGGCGAGCATGCCTGGCGCGCCCGGTTGGCTTCCTGCCGCTTCTGCTGTGGGGTGGGGTGCTTCGCTTCGGCGAGGGAGAGGGCGTCGCGTCGCGTCGCGGTCAAACCACGCAGGACAGGACCGCACTGTGCGGCTTGTTTTGTTTGGGCTCGGGGGGCGCGGATGGGGCGGTGCGGTACTGCGGCGTGGGTGGGGACTCGGGGGCCCCCCTCCCGGCTTCGAGCGATGAGATGATGGCCATGCTGTCTGCTGTATGTGTTGAGTGTTGACCGCACCACACGGCACCGCAGAGGGCACGGTGTGCCCGTGCATGTTTTGCTCCGTCTGTACTGTGCTTCTGCATAAGGCCGTACCCGTTCCTAATAAATTTAAGCACGCGGTGGCGCCTGACCACAGCTACTTCCAGCGTACCGACCGCACAGCACGCTAAACATGGTAGCGAAGAGAGAGAAAGGAGAGGGAGGAGAATAAAATATGGAATAGTAGATATAAAGTATAGAATAAAGATAACATGAGTGCGGAAGAAATAGATATAGAGTAGAGAATCTCGATGACTAGAATAGAATATTTCTTTTAAAATATGGAAATAGAGGTTGACGAGTACGGATAGCCTAACGAGGCCTATGTAGATTCTCTGATCTGTCCATCAAACATCCGGAGAAATAACCGAACTATGATTTTGACCCACACGAAAGCATCATGTGGTTTGCCCTATGCAAAAATAACCGAACTATGATTTTGGCCTACACGAAAGCATCACGTGGTTTGGCCTATTCAAAACTTGTTTGATACGGTGGCCCGGCGGTCTGGCTGCGCTCTTGGCTGTAACTTTCGTGTTTAATGTTTTGGACGCAGTTGCGAGTAAGGCTGGACGAAAAACTCGAAGCTCGTTAGCTCGCTCGGCTCGTGGCTGGCTCGACTCGGTTCGGCTCGGCTCGTTATGATAACGAGCCGAGCCAAGCCAAGATTTTAGCTCGTTAGCTATAACGAGCCAACTCGAGCCAGCTCGCGAGCCGCTCACGAGCTAAACGAGCCAAGCTTCCAGGAAAAAAAGTATCAAAACTTGTATTAGTTTTTGTATTACTTCATGTCTTGCACTTTACAATTGACTGGTAACTGGTCTAGACCCTATAAATTGACTGGTAACTGGTCTAGATGCATTTCTTTTGTATTATTATTATTCTTAAACTTTAGATAAATGCAAATATTATATTTTGTGTATTTTTTATACTTGGCTCGCGAGCTTAACGAGCCAGCTCGAGCTTTTAACGAGCCGAGCCGAGCTGGCTTTCTGGCTCGTTAGGATAACGAGCCGAGCCGAGCTAGCTCATTATCTTAACGAGCCAGAACGAGCCGAGCCCAAACGAGCCGAGCCGGCTCGTTATCCAGCCTTAGTTGCGAGCTTGGCCACCCTTGGTGCAAAACATCCTCTCTCTCTCCGGGAAACGAAATCCAGATCCGTTTCGTCTGTGTCTGACCAGCTGAAACACTCACAAGCGAGATGGAGTCACCTCCGACTCCTGGTCTCTCACCCACCGCTCCCTTCTTCTCTATGACTCCGAGCCAGGCGAGCCGCAGCCGCACTGAGCTGGGCGCGCACGCATGACTACCGCCGCCACATCGAGCTAGCCGCTGAAAGGTCCTACGGTTAGAGGGAATGAATAGTCTATTAAAAATTTCTACAACAACACTTAGCAAAGATATTAGACAATTAAATGGCGAAGCGAGTGTTGCGTTAGCCTACTAAAAATGCAAGCCACATACCACAATTCTAGTGACTATGATCTCTAAGCCACAATGGCTATGTCACTGCACTAAATTAGTGAGCTTTTAAATGCTAACTAAAGAGCCTCACTAACCACTAGATCCGACACAAGCTTGCTCTCAAAACTAATTACACTAAAGGGCGAAGCAACACTAGAAATGTAAATACACAAGAGATGATGGTGATAATTATACCGCCGTGTTGAGGGATTGAGCCAATCACAAGATGGTCACAATCAATCACAATGAATACCAAGAAATCCTCGGACGATGATGACACACGATTTTTTTCCGAGGTTCACTTGCTTACCGGTAAGCTAGTCCTCGTTGTGGCGATTTACTCACTTGGAGGTTCACGTGCTAATTGTCATCACACGCCAAACCCTCAATAGGGTGCCGCACAACCAACACAAGATGAGGATCACACAAGCCACGAGCAATCCACTAGAATACCTTTTGCGTCTCCGCCGAGAAAAGGTCAAGAACCCCTCACAATCACCACGATCGGAGCCGAAGACAAGCACCTTCCTCCGCTCGACGATCCTCGCTGCTCCAAGCCATCTAGGTGGCGGCAACCACCAAGAGTTACAAGCGAATCCTGTAGCGAAACACGAATACCAAGTGCCTCTAGATGCAATCACTCAAGCAATGCACTTGGATTCACTCCCAATCTCACAAAGATGATGAATCAATGATGGAGATGAGTGGAAGGACTTTGGCTAAGCTCACAAAGTTGCTATGTCAATGCAAATGCACCTCACTGTCATCGCGTTGACCGGACGCGCAGGTCGAATTGACCTGACACACGGTCCCTGCGTTCGGTCAACGGATGATCTCCACGTGTCATTGCCTTCAAACGAGAGCCGCCCGATCTCCAATGGCTAAGTCGCTCCTGCGCTCATACTAATGAAGGACCGAACGCACCAATCAAGAGCTCGGACACGCTAGCCCTACGTCAGATCAACGAAACCGCGCCCACTGCAACAAACGACCGGACGTGTCGATCACTCCAGCCACCGCGCGTTAGGTCATTTCCAGAGAGCTCCCCGAGCGCCAAAACCATGACCTGACGCGTCAGGTGCATGCGATCGGACGCGTCACCGCGTCAGGTCTTCACCGTGCTCACTCAGCCGCTTACGTCACCGTGCGTCATGAATGACTGGACACACCCTCTGCGCGTCAGGTCACATTCAACTCCTACGTCTAGTCAAGCAACAGACAGAGACCGAAAGCACCACCAAATTTTATAAATGACTGAACTCACTAACCCAGCGTCAGGTCACACCGTGAGCTGCATTCGGTCACTGATTTTTAGTGAAAGTCAACTCCTTCACTTCACCAACTTCTCCACCCTTGCTCAAATGTGCTAACCACCAAGTGTATTACCTTGTGCACGTATGTTAGCATATTTTCACAAATATTTTTAAGGGTGTTAGCACTTCACTAGATCTAAATGCATATGAAATGAGTTAGAACATCTAGTGGCGCTTTAATAACCACATTTCGATTCGAGTTTCACCCCTCTTAATAATACGGCTATCGATCCTAAATATGATCAACCTTGCTAAGTGTCTTGATCACCAAAACAAAAAGCTCCTATCAAATTTCACCTTTGCCTTGAGCTTTTTGTTTTTCTCTTTCATCTTTTCCAAGTCTAAGCACTTGATCATCACCATGGTCACACCATCATCATCATCTTCACAATTGCTCCACCACTTGGAATAGTGCTACCTATCTCATGATCACTTTGATAAACTAGGTTAGCACTTAGGGTTTCACCAATTCATGAAAACCAAACTAGAGCTTTCAATCTCCCCCTTTTTGATAATTGATGACAACCCTTTCACAAAGATATGAATTAAAATTCATTTGAATCCATGTTGCTTGTCCAAGCATATTTACCATTTGTAAAAGGATATGGACAAGTTTCATGAACCCCATCGGTAGTATTAGCTTTCCCTACATATGTGCTAAGAGTTTGGATTGAAGCTTGCACATATGCATGGATTTGAGTTGTGGGGAAGTAATGTCTACCAAATGATGCTAAGGTACAAGAGATGGACCTTTGAAGCGTGATACCAATCGGAGTGCACCAAATATACCATCCTTAGCACCATTAGTAACTAGACATACACAAAAACTAGAATACCCGGTGAGATCAATATTAGAAGCAAGGGTCTAGTTTTCACAATATAGCATAAGTCTAGTTACTCAACCTATGCATGCTAGTTTTTCATTTCATCATTCAAGCCTACAACTAGCATACACCACATAAGCATGGATATTGAAATTTAAAACTTGTGCCATGCAAGCAAACATATGAAATGCACATTCAAATACACCAATCAAGTTTATGAGCTTGCTCCCCCAACTTATGTGCTCAAATTTTAATTGATCCCCTTCCTTTGTCATATTACTCCCCCTATGTCAAAGTTCTCTTCCCCTTAGTGTTTACTTCTCCCCCTATCACTTACATCTTTGTTTCTCTCCCCCTTTGTTATCAATGACCACAAAGGTTCAATTTTAGATAGGTTAAGATTAACAATGTCAATCAATGGGGTGAGGATTATTTTCCCAAATTTGGTTCAATCTAGAACACTTGCCAAAGATATTTAACTCAGTTTAATCCAAGGACAAGCTTCTTCACACCTCCAAATAAGGGTTATCTTATGCCATGTTGAGTTAAACACTTGTAGTTTATTTTCTAGATCAAACACTAGGTTCACAAGCCCACAAATATGTCATATGCTACCACTAGATCATAGCAAGCATAGAAACAATAGGGGTACCATACAAGCATCAAATTTATTTGATTTTCATGAATGAGCCTATAACATGTGAGGAATGACAAGATGCACTAAACATGTCCTTAGCAAAGTGAAAGCATCTAGGCCCCTAGTTGGGTTTCGGTGATTAATGACAATACGAGATTACTATGACTAACGTGTGTTTTGCAGAGGCAATTAAGTTAGGTCATGGTAATGACAATTGATTGGGTAATCATGGTTGTCATGCCCCTACGATGGAAATCATTTCTGTTTTCAAAGGATGGACGACAAGGTTAAGGATGAACTAGTTCTAAGTGTCGTTTGGTATTGAAGAGACACTTAGAGTAGTTTAGCACTTTGTTTTTCCTTTGGCCATACTATTAAGGGGGGTA